AAGTGGGATCTCTTCTTGTTAAAAAGCTTCTGCACAGCAAGAGAAACCACCAACAGTGTGAAGAGAAAATCCACAATGTTGGAAAATATTTTTACCAGCTGTTCCTTAGACAAGGGTGTACTATCCAAAATATATGAAAAACTTTAAAAAATCAAACCTCCCAAATTTAAAAACCCAATCCAAAAAATGAGCATCTGAAATCAATGGTCATTTCTCAAAGAAGTAGAAATAGCAAATAAACATAGGAAAAAATGCTCAATTTCATTGGTCATTTGACAGTCGCAAAAGCAAACAATGCTGAGAATCTACCTCTCCCCAGAAAGAATGGCTGCTATCATGAAATCAACTAATAACAAATGCTGGCGGGACTGTAGGGAATGAGGAACCCTGCTCTACTGCAGGTGGAAGTGTAAACTGATGCAATCACTATGGAAATCAGTATGGAGATATCTCAAAGAAGTAGAATTAGAAGTCCCACTTGACCCAGCTATTTCCCTGCTGAGTATCTTCCCAAAAGAATTAAAAGAATCATACCACAGTGATATATGTGCAGCCATGTTCACAGTGGCACAGTTTGTAATAGCTAAAACTTGGAAACAGCCCAAATGCCCATGAACTGGAGACCGGATAAAGAAAATGTGTTTTTTTTTATAAAATGGTGTACTACTCAGCCATGAAGAATGAGAAATTAGAGACATTTATTTCTAAATGGATGCACATTGAAGCAATACTCTTAAGTGAAATAAATAGGACACACATGTAAATTCCGAGTAGTTTCTGTGGCATGAGAAACTGAAAGTGGATTCATTGCCGCTGCTGGCTGGGCGGGGGTTCCGTGTTTTGGGAGTAATGGAGGCGCTGATTCCTGTCATCAACAAGCTCCAGGACGTTTTCAACACGGTGGGCGCCAACATCATCCAGCTGCCTCAGATCGTCGTGGTGGGGTCGCAGGACTGAAGATCAAACCTGGGGCCTCCTACTCATTAGGCAAACACCCTAACACTGAGCTACGACCCCATCCCTGAGAGGGAGTATTACAGTGTGAAGTTAGAGAATTTATTCAGATCCACCACCTCCTTCAAAAATCAGCAATATAAAATGAGTATCTTCAAATTTCAGACAAAAATTTTTAAAGAAAAACAAGACTTCCTGTAGATTATGAAAGCACTCCAGAAAGACATGCCCACAAAACAGATGAGAACCATGAAATACTAAGACAAAGATATTATAATGACAAGGTATTTCAAGAAACTAATTTGCATAAGAAAAATTTCAAAATTACGTAGAACTCAGTAGTGTTAAAAATAAAATTTATTTTAGAAATGAATGCAAATGTGAAGAAATACAAGAGCAAACAACCATAACAGGCAATAAATACTGTAAGAAGGAAAGAACTTTAAAAGTAGAAAGACATTAAAAACAAAAAAATAAGAAGGGAGGAAAGAAAATGATCGAGTAGAGACCAGCAGCAAAATATACGCTCTATGAGGCCTGGAATGACGACACCTGGAAAACAACTTGGTGAAGAGAAAAAAGAAGTATATCTCCAAGAAACTGGAGAGCACTAATGGGAAAAATGGAAACCACAGAGAAGTTGGAGAAGTGGTAGTACAACACAGAAAAAAGAACAAAGCAGTTGGGATAGGAACCCTGTCTCTCAGGGAACTGGACCTGTCTCCTGTGATCCAAGAGCAGTGGGAAGAGCTCAGTGCTAGAAAGCCTGGTGGGGAGGGACCTGCTTCCCAGAGGTACTGGTATCATCACTCGGAGACCTCTGATTCTGCAGCTGGTCCATCTCTCACCAGAAGACAAACGCAAAACAACAGGAGAAGAAAACGGGGTAGAAGCAGAAGAATGGGGTAAATTTCTTCACACCAAAAATAAGCTCTACATAGATTTTGATGAAATTCGACAAGAAATTGAAAATGAAACAGAAAGAATTTCAGGGAATAATAAGGCAGTAAGTCCTGAACCAATTTATCTTAAGATTTTTTCTCCCAACGTTGTGAATTTGACAATTGTGGATTTGCCAGGAATGACCAAGGTGCCTGTAGGTGACCAACCTAAGGATATTGAGCTTCAAATCAGAGAGCTCATTCTTCGGTTCATCAGTAATCCCAATTCCATTATCCTCGCTGTCACTGCTGCTAATACAGATATGGCAACATCAGAGGCACTTAAAATTTCAAGAGAGGTAGATCCGGATGGCTGAAGAACCCTCGCTGTGATCACTAAACTTGATCTCATGGATGCGGGTACTGATGCCATGGATGTGTTGATGGGAAGGGTTATTCCAGTCAAACTTGGAATAATCGGAGTGGTTAACAGGAGCCAGCTAGATATTAACAATAAGAAGAGTGTAACTGATTCAATCCGTGATGAATATGCTTTTCTTCAAAAGAAATACCCATCTCTTGCCAATAGAAATAGAACAAAGTACCTCTCTAGGACTCTAAACAGGTTACTGATGCATCACATCAGAGACCGCTTACCAGAGCTGAAGACCAGAATCAATGTTCTAGCTGCTCAGTATCAGTCTCTTCTGAACAGCTACGGTGAACTCGTGGATGATAAAAGTGCTACTTTACTTCAGCTTATTACCAAATTTGCCACAGAATATTGTAACACTATTGAAGGAACTGCAAAATATATTGAAATTTCAGAGCTATGTGGTGGTGCTAGAATTTGTTATATTTTCCATGAGACTTTTGGCTGAACCTTAGAATCTGTTGACCCATTAGGTGGCCTTAACACTATTGATATTTTGACTGCCATTAGGAATGCTACTGGTCCTCGTCCTGCTTTGTTTGTGCCTGAGGTTTCATTTGAGCTATTGGTCAAACAGCAAATCAAACGTCTAGAAGAGCCCACCCTCCGCTATGTAGAACTGGTTCATGAGGAAATGCAAAGGATCATCCAGCACTGTAGCAATTACAGTACACAGGAATTATTACAGTTTCCTAAGCTTCATGATGCCATAGGTGAAGTAGTGACTTGTCTTCTCCATAAAAGGCTGCCTGTAACAAATGAAATGGTACATAACTTGGTGGCCATTGAATTGGCTTATATCAACACAAAACATCCTGACTTCGCTGATGCTTGTGGGCTAATGAACAATAATATAAAGGAATGAAGGAAAAACAGGCTAGCAAGAGAATTACCTTCAGCTGTATCACGAGACAAGTCCTCTAAAGTTCCAAGTGCTTTGGTGCCTGCCTCCCAGGAGCCCTCCCCTGCTGCTTCTGCGGAGGCTGACGGCAAGCTAATTCAGGACAGCAGAAGAGAAACTAAAAATGTTGCATCTGGAAGTGGTGGGGTTGGAGATAGTGGTCAAGAACCAACAACTGGCAACTGGTGAGGAATGCTGAAAACCTCAAAAGCTGAAGAGGTACTAGCTGAAGAAAAATCAAAACCAATTCCACTTATGCCAGCAAGTCCACAGAAGGGCCATGCTGTCAATCTGCTGGATGTGCCAGTTCCTGTTGCAAGAAAACTATCTGCCCATGAACAGAGAGATTGTGAGGTTATTGAACAACTCATCAAGTCAGAAAGAATATTCGAGACAGCGTGCCAAAGGCAGTAATGCATTTTTTGGTTAATCATGTGAAAGATACTCTTCAGAGTGAGCTAGTAGGACAACTTTATAAATCGTCCTTATTGGATGATCTCCTGACCGAATCTGAGGACATGGCCCAGCATAGGAAAGAAGCAGCTGACATGCTGAAGGCATTACAAGGAGCCAGTCAAATTATTGCTGAAATCCGAGAGACTCATCTTTGGTGAAGAGAACTATATAACACCGACTGTTGACATGAAACCTGCTAGTTACTGCCTATTGAGTAGAATTTTATTTATGAACTACTGGGTACTGCAGTGATGCAAATCTCCTCATGTGAAGACTGGCTGTAAACTGAAGTGTATTCTGCAATGCAGAAAAAATCACACATTTAATCCAAATAATAAATGGCTGTTTCTAAAGTTTTCCTATACATATACATGTCTATCTTGTGACAGTTTCATTTGAACTTAAGAACTGTTGATGTTCTAGTTGTACAAAGCCACTTGCCTGTGGATAAGATGACCTGTGTAATTTTTGTTAGTAGTTTTAAAGCTGCTGCCATAGTCCTTGAGGAAAGCACCAAGACATTTCGTGTAACTCTGATGCATTTCAAGTCACCCAGCTGTGCAAGACGTGGTCGGCAAGTTCCTTACACACACACAATCACTGGATTCCACTTGCCCTTCGGTTTTCAGCTTTTAAAATCTCTGCGTCTTTGCTGCAATGGTAGGAAAGCTGAGTTAAAGAGGATCTGGAACACTGACAGAGTGTTGGGTACATACCGTGTAGTTAAATAGCCCTTCTGTCATTCTGGAGTCCCCGTTGCACTAGTGTGTTAAAAATTAAAACACAATTTGATTGTAACTTAAACCTAAAAGCACAAGTCATGATTTACTGCATTAAAAACAATCATCTGGGCTTGATTATCTTAGTAAGATTTGGTAATAATGGCCAGTTCCTTTTAGTTTTAGAACATCCACTGATGACCTAAATTAAATACATCTCTAAAATGGGGCACTAAGATACTAGGCTCCAAGATTCAGTTTGAAGGAGAACTTAAATGTAGTGGTTCTAACTTTTTCTCCATACCAGCAGACTGTATTAGAACAGTGGAATGAAAATACCATTTTGTATTAGTTAAAGGAAAGAATTAGGACATTCACACAGCCTGAAAATGTGACCATTAAACTGCATAGAGGGGTTGGGAGTTATGTTTACCACTAATACTTTTTGTATGTGAACTGCCCAGTTGATTCTTGGTAAAAAGTACATTAAAGACTTGAATAGAAATCCTTAAGACCCCCATCTCTTAACAGATAACACATTAAGTAAATAAGTATTATAAATATTAAATTTTTTTCAGGTTATGACCAGGTATTTGTTAAGGGTTATTGGCAGGGACAAATATGATTATGTTAATGTTAGCTTATGTTACTCATTTACTAAGAAACAACAGGTTGCAACTCATCTCAAACACAAAGAACAAAATCAGCCTGACATGATAGAGTACTGCTTGAATTCATTAATAGTACCACCTTGACAGTTAATGCAGGCTACCAGAATCTTAGCACAACTGAAAATCCCTTTGCTATTATTAAACATGTTTTGAAATTATAACCATCCACGATTTACTTTTTTCTTCAGACCGATCAGATGACTGCCACTGTAGCCTTTTGAATTTGTAAGGCAAAAAAATTTACAATGTGCTTTTCCCCAGTACATCAAACAGATTTCAAATTGAGTGCTGGCTTTAAAAACATACTATGGCAATGCACTTGCTAGTACTACACACTTTGTACAAAGGAAAACAGGCAAGAAACTTAAGGAAAGAGCCTACTTTGTCAGCTCTAAACTGAGTGATGTTCTGAAATGTGGAGACAATCTTGGACATACTTATAATGGATACCTGTAATGTTCTTCCTGTGTAAATAAACTTGCTAGCATGAAACAACACAAAAAAAAGAAACTGAAAGTGTAAATAAGGATCAAAAAGTATAATAGATAATGTGAAATAGGAAGAAAGGGGGCAAAGGGGAAGCAGAAGTGGGAGAGGTAGCAGAAAGGAAAGAAGGGAATGGAATTAATATGAGAAAATGCAAAAATGGAAACAAAGTCTTTAAAGATAGGTTGGGATGGAGGGGTTGAAGGGAGAGCAGAGGAAGGGGAAAAAATAAGAACCAAGATAGATTACCTAAAGGTAGAAATTTCCAATGTTGAATGTCATATTGTATACCTAAAATGTACCAATAAAATTAATTTAAAAATAGATAACAGGAAATAGGGAGATAGATTTTTTTCCAAAATGGAAGGGGACTGAGAGATGGAAGGAGGAGAATGGAAGGGAATGGAAAAAAAGACAGATTATGTAAAGATACAAATCTCCAATGATGAATGTCATTATATTGTATTCCTAAAATGTACCAATGAAATTAATTTAAAAGAAAAAAAACCGGAGCTGTGGATGTAGCTCAGTGGTGTTTTGCCTGCCTGGCAAACACAAGGTTTTGAGTTCAATCCCTGATACTGAAAAAATTAAATAAAGTAAAGAAAATCTGGATTTTTATACAAGAACTAAGGTACATCATGTACAGTACAAATTCCTAATGATGAATGTGATCATAAGGTATAGCTAAAGTATGCCAATAAAGTTAATTTTTTAAAAAATCACAAAACAGATAAGTCATTTAAAAAGTAACCAAACAAATCCTGAAACTGAATAATACATTGAATGTAGAATATAATAAAAAGCTTCAACAGTAGAAACAACCAAACAGAAAAAAATAAACTATGAATTTGAAGACAGATCTTTTGAGATCATCCAGTCAGAAGAAAAAGAATGTAAAAGAGTGAAGAAAGCCTACAGGGCTTATAGGGTATCATAAAACTAACCAATACATTCATTATAGAATTCTAAAAAGAAGAGCATGGATGCTTATTAAAACAAATAATATTAAAATAAATAATTAATTAAAATAATAATTAATTTAATTATTTAATTAAAATAATGATAAATTTTAAAAATAAATAAAAGAAATAATAGGTAATCACTCAGGAGTGTAAGGCAGGAGGATCGCTGCAAATTCGAGGCCAGCCTGAGCTACATAGTGAGTTCAAGGCCAGCCTGAACTACATAGGGAGACCCTGTCTCAAAAACACAAAAATATAAAAACAAATAAGAAATAATAGGTAAAATCTTTCTAAATCTTGAGGAAGATAAGGACATTCAAAAGTCTCTAAACATATTCAAAGAACCTTGTGGAGGGATATATTATAAATTTACAACCAAAAATCAAAGTCAAAAAGAAAATTTTGAAAGCAAGAAAAAGCAACATGTTACATACAAAAGGATCTGCATTATAGTATCAGTGAATTTCTCAGCAAAAAACTTGCAAGCTGGAGAGAATGGGATTATACATTTAAAATGCTGGGCTGGGGATATAGCTCAGCAGTAGAGAATTTGCTTAATTATATGGACCCCTCTGTGTTCAGTCCCCAGCATCACACACACACACACACACACACACACACACATACACACACACACACACACAAATGTTGAAAGTGAAAAGAAAAAAAAATCTATAAAGAATACTATATCTGGCAAAACTAGCCTTCAGAAATAAAGGAGAAATAAAGACTTTCTCAGACAACCGAAAGCTGAGGGATTTCATCACCATAGACTTGCCTTATAAGACATATCAAAGGGAGTTATTCATGCAGAAACAAAAGGACACTAGTTAGTAACATGAAAACATAAAGCTAGAAAATTCACTGGCAAAGGTAAATACATAGTTAAAGTCAGAAAACTATAATGGTGATGTGTACAATGCTCATAAATCACTTATAATTCTAGTATACAGGTTGAAAGACAAAAGTATTAAAATAATAATAGAATATTAATAGATATTATTAATATCTATTATTAGATATTAATAGATTAATAGATTCCTTAATAGATAAACAATAGAAAAAGGTATAAATTGTGACCTCAAAACATTGACTATAAGAGGCAAAAATGTAGTTTTTGTGTGCAATTAAAATGTACTTGTTATATGGATGTGAAAGGGTACAGAGATACAGCTATTTAAGATTAATAAATTGAGAGAACTAATTGAGATAATGACAATCACAGTTAATAATATTGTATGTGTATGGGAAATTTGTTAAAAGAGTAGATTTTAGGTGTTCTTACCATATACACAAATAAAAATGTAATTATGTGAGATAATAGATACATTATTGGTTTGACTATAGTAACCATTTCACAATGCATATAAAAATATTATATAGCGTTATCCTACATTTATACAATATTTTTAAAGATTCTATTAGAATATTAAGGGATTCCTCCTCCAACACAGGAGACAAAGAAAAAAATAATGTAAGAGGGATCTTGGATTGCTGATGATGTAAATATTTTTGTATTTTTAAGCCATTTGTATGTCTTTGTGAATTACTAATTAAGGCATTTTCATTTTTGATTCCTAAGAGATCTTTGTATACTAAAAGTTATCATATTTGACTATCATTTACTGTGCAAACACATTTTACCTATTTGGGAGTTAAATTTTAAAATGTGTTTATAATAATTTTGGAGGTAGAAAAAATCATTTTTATTTTCTTTTATTAGTTTTTTTTGAAGTTTGTTTTAAATATTATGCTTAGAAATACTTTATTAATGCTGTAAGGAGAATCTATTTCTATTTTACAAAAAAATTTTCTTGTAGTTTCATTTTTCATGTTGCCTTTCAATCTCTTTTTGGAATATTGGATAAGATATTCCCTAACTTAATTTATTACTATCCTTAGATTAAATAACACGGTACTCTACAAAATTTTAGAGAAACTGTCCTTATCATAAAGTAAAACTTTGTCTGTTTCTTGACTCTTTGATCTGTTTTACTAAACTACATTGATCTACTTTTATATGAATACCACAGTATGTGATTATATGTCCTAAAATTCTATGGTATAAATGATACCTTAGGATTCTTATTTTTTACTGTTTTATTACAGTTTTATTTCAGGTTCAGATGTAGAAGTTTGAGACAAACCAATAGTGTGATCAGAATAATAAGAATGGATAATTTGAAAATTCATACATTTTAACATATCAGAGAGCTGTAAATGCAAAAAAATCTAAAGATTTCCAGGGATGGGCAAGCCCCTTCTACGTGAGCAGAGGCCAGGGACTGCTTTCCTCCTGGGAACACTTGCTAAAATTAGGCAGAAAGAATCTGCTGGAGTAAGAAGAAATCAGTTAAACATTTAGCAGCCATGTGAGCTGGTATAATGGAATAGTATCTTAAGAACCCCATATGTAGCAATAGTGCAGTTAACAACTTCCCAGTTGGGAAGAGGACCAAGAGATGGAGTGGACAGATGAAGGGGAATGAAAAGGGATTTTTAAAAAAAAGAATTAAGATGTGTTATGTATATGTACCAACTCCCCACGAGGAATGTGATCATTATGTACTACAGATATGCACTAATAAAATTTTTTTTTAAAAAAATTTCCCAGTTGGAGTTTTGCTCAGTGTTTGGC